ATTTCATTTGCTCCTCATAACATTAACAAAGTGGTAAAGATCACAGTCCTAAATACTGGTTATTAACATTAACAAAATTATAAATGTAATATTAATAAGTTAATAATAATGCCATTTTATTTTGTGTGGCACCTTATATTTAATGAAATGGCCATTATCTAATTTCCTCCTCATAACAATCCTATAAACTAATTGTTAATGTTAAGACTGTTGTAAAGGTAAAAATACGTTAACAAAATTTTGATAAAAAAAGAATAATAAATTAATAACAATGCCATGTTATTTTGTATAACACCTAGCAGTTAATGAAATAAATTTATATTATCTCGTTTACTCTTGACATTAACAAAATGTAAAAATCACAATCTTAATTTCTAGCTGACATTAACAAAATTATAATAACAACACCACTTTATTTTGTGTAGCACCTTGCAGTTAATGAAATGAATTTATATCATTATCTCTAAACAAAATGGTAAAGATCACAATCCTAAATACTAGTTATTAACATTAACAAAATCACAAAGCTATTTTAAGACTTTGCTGTTAATGAAATGCATTCATGGCCATTATCTCGTTTGCTTTTCACAGTGATCTTATAAACATCATTATAAAAATCAATCTTCAATGTTAATTAACATTAATAAGATTATTTAAAATTATATTAATAAATTAATGACAACCCTGGTTTATTTTGAATATCACTTTGCAATTAATGAAATGGATTCGTGTCATTATTAATAAAATTGTAAAGCTGTTTCAATCCCAAATACTAGTCACTAACATTAACAAAATTATAAAGATGTTAATGGTGCTGTTTTGTATAGCACCTTCCAGTTAATGAAATGCATTCATATCATTATCTTATGTGCTCTTTGCATTAACAAAACTGAAAAGATCACCACCATAAGTATTAATTATTAATATAAACAAAATCACAAAGGTAGTAATAACAATGCTATTATTTTGTTTTAGCACTTGGCAGTTAATGAAATGTATTTGTGGCCATTATCTCATTTGCTTTTCACCGAGATGTTATCAAGCAATTGTTAATGTTAGCAACACTATAAAGATCACAATCCTAATTATTTACACAAACAAAATTATGGATAATATTAATAAATTAATAATGCCATTTTATTTTGTGTAGCACTTTGCAGTTAATGAAATGAATTCATATTGTGATCTCATGTGCTCTTCATCTTAAAGTGGTAAAGATCACAGTCTGAAGTACTAGTTATTAACATTAACAAAATTTAAAAGATAATTTTAATAACAGTGCTAATATTTTGTTTAGCACTTTGCAGTTAGTGAAATGTATTCCTGGCCATTATCTCACCACATTACCTCACCATAATCCTATAAACTGTTACTTTGTAACTTTACATTGTAGAGTTCTACCCTAAATGCTATAATTATTAACAAAATTAAAATAATAACAAATGCTTATTGGCTTAAGAAAGTAATAACAATGCCATTTTGTTTTGTATATCACCTTGCAGCTAGTAATCATAATCCTAAATGCTATTAACATGAACAAAATCACAAAGATATTAAGACTGCTGTTCACAACGTACCTTCATGGCCATTGTCTGATTTGCTGTTCACAGCAATTCTGTAAACTAATTGTTTAAAAAAAATAATAAACCAATTGTTAATGTTAACAGAATTGTAAAAGTAAAAATACCTTAACATTTTAATAGGAATAATATTAATAACAATCCTATTTTATTTTGTGTGGTACCTTGCAATTAATAAAAATTAATTCTATCATGTGCTCTTCAGATTAACAAAATTGTGAAGATCGCAATCTTAGTTTCTGGTTCTTAACATTAACAAAATTGTTTGGATAATATTAATGAACTAATAACAATGCTATTTTATTGTGTGTAGCAGCTGGCAGTTAATGTAATGCATTCACAGCCATTTTCTCATTTGCTCCTCAAAGTAGTCCTGTAAACTACTTGTTATTGTTAACATTATTATAAGGATGATATTAGTAAATTGATAACAATGCTCTTTTATTTTGTGTAGCACTTTGCAGTAGTTAATGGAACTCATTCATATCATTATCTCATTGGTTCCTTGAAACATTAACAAAATTGTAAAGATCATAATCCCAAATGCTAATTAACATTTACAAAATTATAGATATTAATAAATTAATAACAATGCTGTTTTATTTTGTATAGCACCTTGCAGTTAGCAAAATGCATTCATAACTCTCATCTCATTTTTTGGCCCATCGTTATCTCCATTTTATAAACAGAGTACCTGAAGCTCCGAGAAGTTAAGCAGTTTGCCCATCTGCTTTAAGGTGTTGGACAGGTGGCATTCGAACTTGGTTATTTTCATTCCAAATCCAGTCTTCTTTCCCCAGCTCCCCCAGTGCCTCTCTTCAAACTTGAGCTTCTCTGTACTGAGGAAGCACAGATTTGACCATAAAATGACAGAATTTTAATTGGAAGGGACCTTGGGCCATCTAACCCATCCCATAAGGTATCCCCACTTTGATGTAACAGTCGTATATTTCCTATTTTCTTAACTTCCTGCGTTTTGTATTGAATTTTAAATGTACATCCCTTGATGGAATAAAAGCTCCTTGAGGGTAGGAACTGGTTTTGGTGTTGTCTTTGTATCCTCAGCACCTTCAAAAGTCCCTGGCTCATAGTTGGCCCTTAATCAGTGCTTTGTCTAAGCAGGCTCCTCATGTTCTGTAGAGGTGACATAGTCCTAGAGAGAGTGTTGGGCTTGGTATCTGGAAGCACCTGTGTTCCAATTCTGGCTCTGGTTCAACTAGTTGTGTGGCTGGGGAGGTCACAAACTCCTGAGCCTCCTTTATCCCCTGTAAAATTCAGAGAGTAAACCTTTTACTATATACCTCATGGCATTGCAGAGAGTGGGCTTAAATCAGTATATAAATTAAGTTAATTAGATGCCCGAAGTTTCATCACCAAAGGTGAATTCACTAGTAGAGAGGGAGGAAATCTAATTTGATTGGAAAATTAAACCGGGAGGGGGTAGACTCTTGTGTCAGTGCCTTGTTACTGAACCAGATTTCCCATTGTTGCTTAATCACTCTTTGTAAAGGGTAGTAACTATGGGAAGTCACTTGCTCTGTGTCACATAGTTCTGTCTGAAGTAGAGTTTCAGCTCTAATCTTCATGACTCCAAATCTAGCTCTCCATCCAGTCAGTTAGTCAACAAGCATTCATTAAGTACCTGTCAGGTGCGTAGGTACCTGACACTGTGCTAAGAGCTGCGAATACAAAGACAGGCAAAAGACAGTCCCTGCTCTCAAAGAGCTTGTAGTCTAATAGAGAAGACAATATGCACACAGACAAGATACATACAGGATAAATTAGATATAACCAACAGAAGGCAGGAACTTAGCATTAATGGGAATTGGGAAATGCTTATTGTAGGTGAGGTTTTATCTGGAACTTGAAGGCAGCCAGGGGAGCCAGGAGAGAGAACCTTTCCAGACATAAGGGATAGCCAGTAAAAATGCAGTCAGAGATGGAGTATATTATGTGGGAGGAACAGTAAGGGTGTCAGTGTCACTGGATTCCAGAGTGTGTGGCAATAAGTAAACTGTAAGACTGTACAGTTGGAAGAGGCCAGGTTACGTTAAGGGTTTTGAATGCCAAACAGGATTTTATATTTGATCCTGGAAGTGTTAGGGAGTCATTGGAGTTTTTTGCAGGGTGAGGGTAGTGTAACATGGTCAGACCTATGCCTTAGGAAGATTAATTTGACAGCTGAGGGATGGAGGGTAGACTGGAGTGGGGAGAGACTTAAGGTGGGAGGACCAAGCAGCAGGCTATTGGAATGGTCCAGGTGAGGTGAGAGGGGCCTGTGCTGGGCTGTAGGCAGCATTGTTGGGGGGGGGGGGTGTTGGATGGACCAAATGACCTCTGAAGCCCCTTCCAGCTCTAGGTCTATGAGCCTAAGTTGCAAAAAGAGGCAGGTTTAGGGTTGAATTTGAGGAAAACTTAATAATAGAGCTTTCCAAAAGTGGGAGGGGCTAACTGGGAAGATAATAGTTTCCCCTGCAGTAAAGGTCTTCAAACAGGGCTAGTGGTCATTACTTAATTGGGTATGTTGTAGAGTGGATTCTTGTTCAGCTTAGACCATATGGTCTATGGGATCTCTTCAGAGACAGATTCTGCAATTTTGTTAGCTTGAAATATGGTTTTCTAATTTCCTGATATTGCTATGCAGCCAATCACTCACGGCCCCTTACTTCCCCAACCTTATGCCTTCCAAGAAAAGCTCTGCTCTTCCGGTTTCAGAGCTGGAGGGGAGCCTTTGCCCTGGTTGATATTATTGGCAGAAACAGGAGCCTACTCAGACCAGGGAAATGGGGAAAGTCAGATTTGACATTCTGGGATTTTGTGAGTACAAATGGCTGTGAAAGACAACCAAATGGGACATTTGATATATTTCATTTTTACACCATCTAAATTTTCCTTCCCTCTGTATCATTCCCTTGTCCTCCTCCCAGGGAACCTTCTTGCAGAGCAAAGAATTGTTTTAAAGGGGGAAGAAAAAAAAATTTTTTTTTTTAAGCAAAACTGATCAAATGTTGGGGGAGAGGACATTGTAGGTTATGTTCTACACCCCCTAACTCCATGAAGCTGTGGTAGGACAGAGGTCTCTTCTTTAAAGACAAGCTTGTTCTTTGTAATTCATTTTCCATTGTTTTGGGACAATGACTTTGCAACTTGTAGTAGAGGAATCAATTATGGGTGAGATGGATGTTTAGCAGATGCTTTAGTTTCGAATTTCTGGCGATTGGGCTTAAGCTCAGGCCTCCACTGTGCTTCTTATTTGTCTGTAGACTGATAAGTTAGGACCTTGGGGAACAGCAGTCTCTTGTTACTCTTTCGGCTTGACATGTAACTGTTAGTCTAAGATCTGGTGTTCCTGGACCAGGGTCAGCAGCCTGTGCTATTTCTAGCCAAGCCCTCTTATTTTGGGGAAACTTTCTTTTTCAGATTGAAGATGATGAACCAGGCTATGACCTGGACTTATTCTGCATCCCTAAGCATTATGCTCAAGATCTGGAAAAAGTATTCATTCCTCATGGACTTATCATGGACAGGTCAGTGAGACTTTAAATTGATGCAAATGTCAAGTCTTTCCGAGTGTAATTTTTTTTTGGGGGGGGGGGGGCTAGGCAATAGGGTTAAGTGACTTGCCCAGGGTCACGAAGCTAGTAAGTGTTATGTGTCTGAGGCTGGATTTGAACTCAGGTCCTCCAGAATCCAGGGCCAGTGCTCTATCCACTGCGCCACCTAGCTGCCTCCGTAATTTACTTTTTAATCACAAAACTGATGTGATTTTTTTAAAGATGTTGGTTACTAATGTATGTAAAAGGCTTGAAAACTTTATTTTTTACAGCTAAAGGCATGTTGGATTTAGATAGGACTTAGGTTTTAAAACTAGACCATTAGGTCTCATCAGGAAATTGGCATGATGAAAGTAGAGTATTGAACTTGGATGTAGAATACTGAAGATATGGGTTCAAAATCTGACAGTTGTTAGCTCGGTGATAATGGGCAAGACATTTAACCTATCTAGTCCTTAGTCCTATCATCTGTAAGATAAAAGGATTGGACAAATTGGCCCCCAGGTCCATTCCAGCTTTACCTCTGTGATTGTTTGGGGCCTAAAGAAATTAAACAGCTGAGATTTGAACCCTGGTCATCTGAATCCGGGTCTAGTTCTCTTACCATTGTGTTATGCTACCTTTCTTATACTTCTTCATACTTTAAAATCCTCTTCACTTAAAAAAAAAACCAAAAACCAAAAGGCTGATGATGAAACAAATAAATACCCCTCTCCTTGGAAGATTTAGGTGGTGGACTACAGATACAGGACATCCATACACCCATCAGTTAGGATCCCCGTAAAGCTGATTTCTTTTGCTTAATTGTTGGGGGTGAAGTTGGAAAATGACTGTGAAAAACAAAAGTATCCAGGAAACCATTTTAAAATTAAAAAACATCATTGGATGGTGGAGCTCTATAGTGATGAGTATTACAGAACTGGAGAAGTGGAACCCCAGGTGAGATGCTGGGGAGCATGGGGAACACTTCTGTGAAAGTTCTAGAGTTGTATATTTGCTTTCTCATTACTGAGCAATGGACCAAATTAGGCTGTGCATCTGGAGCATGCAGACATTTTTCTAAAAATAAATGGTGTCATGTCTCCTGTGCAACAAGTTGCACTGAAGAAATTGATTGTTGGGTACTGTATCTGTCTCCCTGTATGCTTGGCTTTCAAGTGAATTGTTTTTTATCCTAATAAAATGAGAATTCTTGGGGGGGGGCAGTAAGGGGGTGGGGTAGATTAGTACAGTCCAAGTGGACTCAGGCTCAGAGAGTTTTAGGGAAGAGTGTTCAATATTAAACACATTCTATTAAATTCTTGGGGTTTTTTCTAATCAGGACCGAACGTTTGGCACGAGATGTGATGAAGGAGATGGGAGGCCACCATATCGTTGCCCTCTGTGTCCTAAAGGGTGGCTATAAATTCTTTGCTGATTTGCTGGATTATATCAAGGCACTGAACAGAAATAGTGATAAATCAATTCCTATGACGGTAGATTTTATCAGATTGAAGAGCTACTGTGTAAGTATATTTCACGTTGTTTAAGGTGATTGAAGAGCCCACTGTGGAAGGATTGTTAGGAATGTGTTTTTATGTGGGAACTGGAGGTTTTCTGTCCATTTTCTGTAAAGCTTGAGCCACTGGTTCTCTGAAGTACTGAATTCTGTGGTTTTCAGTTTCGTTTAGTTTGCTTTCAAGACAAAAGTAAATCTATGACTACCTGAATTTAAATAAGTTGTGGCTTTTAAAAACTGCCTTTGGCATTTGTAACATGTCTGCACTTGAGGTAAGTTTTTGTCCTCAGAGAATAGATTGGATTGTGAGTAGAAACCAAAGGTTACTTGGAGCTGAGCCTCAATAAGGTAGGTTACCTAATATAATTTTTTTTATAAAAACCTGTTTCCCAATCAGTAACTGTTATGGTCTGAGCAACTGTCTGAGCTACGATGAAGAAACCAATCAGATTTTGTTTTTGTTTTTTGCTTCCCACAGAAAGTTCTCTATTGCTTCTGAATTTCTGCAGAAGTAATTGAGTATTTAGTTGTCATGGGATGAATTCTCCATGAACAGTGAGAGCACTGTGTCCATTTGTGATTGATTATATATACTTTTGGGGGTCTTGGGACTCTTGTAATTTTCCATTGTAGAATTGAACACTTTTTTTTTCTAAATCATCATGCTGGAAACACTCTTTATTTTCATCCTGATTACTTTCTTCCTCAAAAAAAGCCTGTTATTTTTTCTCACTTCACTCAAAAGATCAGAGCCAATGTCATATTCACTATTTCTGTTCTTTACTCAGAATGGGTAGCACAGAAACTCCTCACGTGTGGGTTTTCTTTGAGAATGCTTTCTCTTTCAATTTGAACTGGGGTGTGGGAGTAGGCCTCATTCGCACAATGGTTTGCTTGTTTGAAGGAACTAATCCTTTGGTACTTATCTCTGTTGGCAATAGGCCAAACCATTTAGTGTGGATGTTGTCTTCCTCATCACCATCTTAAAGGTTTTTGTGCCAGCTCAAGCTCTGGCCAGACGTTACTCCATCCCGAAAGCTTCTTGTAACATGCCAGATGTTTCACTTGCACATTTGTTTAACTGCACACAAAATTTGAGAATCTTTGTGCTAAATAAGGGTCATTCATTTTTTTGTGTGCATGTGTGAGCAAGCAAAACAACACTTGCCCCCATTCATTGGCCGCAGCTGTTGGTGGCGAGGCCAACTGACCTCAAGATTGCAGCTGTTGCAAAGTTAAAACTTGTTGCAATATGTCTCCATTATGAGTGGGGTCCATGTCTCTTCCACTAGCCACCTGAGAACATTGGCATTGTTTTTTTATGACCAGAACTCATATGCCTAGGAAATTGGACAGAGAACTTTTCCTTTAACAGAGCAGAGATCAGTAGATGTCAGAAATAATTGTAGTGAATGAAATCCATTTATTTTGAACTAGGAAGTGTTAAGAATTAAATATTCTTTTCTAATGCTCTTAATAGCTGCACTTCAAGGAAGGGCATGTGCATATCTTAAGATTTAATTCTGTTTTTAAGATTTTTATTCACATTAAAGCTACTTAGATTGTGTTTAGATTCTAAAGGATTATTAAGGTGAACTAAATTAATGAAAAACTTGCAGTTTTAAAATGTCTAGTTTTTTACTATTTAAAAAGAGGCAGATTTTTCTACTCCCGATTTTCCTATAGAATTTTATTTAAGAAATTGGAGCAGACTCTGCCTAAAATTGTCTTAGAAATTGAAAACAAGGGGAAAATCAAATTCCTAGAAATGTTCCCCTGCCAGCCAAAATTCTTGAAGACTTTTAGGATCTGTAATTTCATTAGAATGGATATCCTCTCTGTTGATACAGATCTCAACCCTTCTGTAACTTGGTTGGCAGAGAGTTGCTATAGCTAAAAATGTCATTCATTCCCCTTCTGCCCTCTCCAAACTTGGGATGTTCTTCAAACAACAGACATCACAGGGCCCGTATTCGAAGCCTTTCCAGCTTGGTAGGACCTGTTGGAGCATGTGCTCCACTGGTATAGGCTTAGAAAATCCAAGATGCCTACCACATTACATTGAGGCATAGGACTTTAGTGGAGGCAAAATAATTCTTTTTAAAAATGCTAATTAACTAATTTCTGTCTTGTGGCTATCCATGTGAATCTTTTAATTTGCACTTTTAAAAAAAATCTGCTGTTGAAAAATATTTGTTTCGAGAAATAATTAGAAAAAATTGGAGAAAAGGGCAGTGAATCATGAAAGAGTGTATTTCTTTTTTTTTTTTTCTTTTTTTTCCAGGCAGTTGGGGTTAAGTGACTTGCCCAGGGTCACACAGCTAGTAAGTGTCATGTGTTTGGTCTGAGGCCGGATTTGAACTCAGGTCCTCCTGACTTCAGGGCCGGTGCTCTATCCCACTGCGCGACCTAGCTGCCCCAGAAAGAGTGTATTTCAAGTATACACATGGAAAGGTAGTGGAAAGTTTTAAAAATTGGAAGCTTAATTTCATAAAGCCATGAAATGGAGATTAAAATTGTTTATGGGATCAGCTAACATTAATGGGAGGATGAAAAAATGAATTCACATGCTAATCTCTGACCACTTGTTTTAAAGTTATTTTAAAACAGTGAATTGTAAGCTAGCTAATCCGTACTAATCATGAAACTTTCTATAAGTTATTACATTTTCTTACAATGCAAAGAAATTCAGAACACAACAGATGGCATCGTGCAAGTGTCATTTCCTTTTTAATTTTGATTTCATTTCACACTCTATAATAAATTTTCCATTAAAGTATTTTGTAAGAGCAATAAAATCTGAACAGTATAAGAGTTTGCCCCAGCTCTCTGTTCATGACAGGTAAGGGTGATAGGCATTTGCCATTTTTGTGTCATAGTCAATAATCAAAGGGAAAATTAAAATGATCTGTTATGTGCCTAAAACAAGATCAGTCTGAGCATGAGTGATGTTAAAGAAAGTGTTTTTTAAACTCCTCTCTTTTAAAAACAAAATGTATTCCTTTCTGATATTGCTATTTTCTCCTGTCTGTCCCTCCCTTCTGCCCCAATTTCTTCTTTCCCATTTAAAAAAAAATTTGTGAAGAGCTTGAAATCTCACACCACATGGGAAACTTAAGAATTATGATCTGTTGACAAATGTTCACAACTCCCTTGGGTATCATGCCCTATTTCTTTCTTCATTCCGTATTAGTAGAGACTTCTGCTTGAAAACCAGCTATTCATTTTCGCCTCTTCCAGCAGCATTCCTCATTCATTACAGCCAAGTCACAACCGTCAGTCTTCAGTGACACTCACTTGCTATGGGTCATGAATAAGCAGCTGCTTCCTGCTTCAAGATTAAAATGACTTTATAGGCACTTGGATAGATCTGTGATCTCCTTGATCCGGGCATTCCTTCCAGCGATGCAGATCCGCAACGCCAATCACGCCTTCTTATCCTGTGCGCCTCTTGTCCATGTCCTCCTGTAGATCCTCCACAGGGAGTCCACCCAACGTGCTGGGATAGGAGCCTTCCTCTAGATCTCTTGACAACGCATGGATACCATTGGAGTGTACGGCTTGTCCATCTGTTGTCCCTTGCTCTCACTACATGACTGACTCACCTTCCTTTGCAGTTCTGCATCTCTCTGGTGACATCCTTTATACCACTTCTCCACAATTCTTGGCTGGTAATATATTGCAGCTTCCTCTTCTCTTCTGGGTTCATTTATAGCAAGAGTGTTGAGATCAACAGGATTTCATTCCTCTAGTAATATGTCCCCTCATTCCCTGCACAAAGAGAGATCTCAAGTTTAGAGCACCAAAGGCCAATTTAATCTTTTTTTTCCCAATTTTTTTATAAATTTGTCAACATTTCCATAGACAAAGAAGTACAGGGGAAACAAAGGATTGTATTTGAACCTGACCCTACGTTTCACCTTAATCATTAGCTTCATATATATCTCCCTTTGCCCCCTTCTCCACCACTTAATCCTCATCAGTCCAGTAGCAGATGGAGAAATGCTGGCCATTTTGTATTTTTCTTTGTTCTGGGTTGCCATGGCCAAAGAATTCGTTACCAAGTGGCTAACTTACTGGCGATGAGCTTCTCCATAATTAGCTAGGCTGATCCTTGGAAAGCAGACTTGGTCTGTTGCCAAGACCTATTCAAAGCCTTTACAGCATAGTAGAGCCTGCCAGAGCTTGAACTACTACTACCCCTATGCCACAGTGAAGCATTGGAGGGGAACTCTGCAGATAAAAATGTTTCAAAGTTTATTTCATACACACAAACATCAATGTGAAAATTGCCATTTGGTGGCGAATAATACTTAGAAAAACCACAAGAATCTCAGAGTTGGAAAGGACAATAGGTCATCTATTCCAATTCGTGTCTGAATAAGTGGTCATCAGCTTCCACTTGAAGAACTCCGCTGATGGGGACCCCACTACCTCCCAGGGCAGCCCATTCCATTTGGGAACTGCTCTGATTGCTAAGAAGTTGTTTCTTACATTGAGGTCAAATCTGCCTCTCTGAAACCTTTACCTGTTGCTCCTAGTTCTGCCTTCTGGGGCCTAATAAGTCCAATCCCTCTTCCCCATAGTAGCCTTTTAAACACTTCAAATCATCCACTCTCCTCCTACCCAACCCCAAGTCTTCTCTTCCCAGGCTAAACATCCCTAGGTCTTTCAAACTGATCTTTGTATCACATGACCTTCAGTTCCCTCAGCCTCCTGGTCACCCTATTCTGGAGATGCTCCAGCTTGGCAATGTCCTTCCTCAAATGTGGCACCCAGACCTGAACACAATACCTCAGTTTGTGATCTGACCAGCGTAGGAAAAGATAATTGTAGTTCACAGTGTGTTTTCTTCTAGTCCTTTTTGTTGTAGCTTTCAGCTTGACCTTTGTGTGCATGTGTATGTAGTCACTAACTCTGAGGTTAAATAGTGCTATACATCTTGACATTAGATTGCTTGAAGCTTATCTTCTACAAACATATAAAAAGCAAATATAATTCAAGACCGCACCAAAGGGCAGAGCAAGAAACCCACTCGATTTAAATAATTAGGAATTGGCATAGGTACTACCTGTGATGGTAATTGGGAAACTATTAAAACCAACTCAAAGACCAGTGCCCCCAGACATGGGGTGTGGCCCTTTCCCAATTACTTGGGTAGGAAGACAACCTTTTAGGCAGACCTATTCATTCCTTTGGAGCTATAAGTGGTAGTTTTTCAGTTTGTGGTCCATAGAACTTAATTTTCAGGATTTAATGAAGACTCCAAGAAAGAAAGTGTGGTTGTGGTGAATGTGTTTAATTTGTGCCTTCACCATTAAGCCCTGGCCCCAACCCAGGATTCTGGCGTTTCCCAAAAAGAAAAGAACAAAAGGTTCCACAGACTAAACAGATCTGAAGACTGTGTGCCCCAGAGTAGCTGTTGAGGGTACTATGTGGTACTGAATGCCAGCACAGTGCCTGGCACATAGTAAGTGCTTAATAAAGATTTGTTGTTATCTCAGTCCCTTATATTTCTAAATTTATCTTCTGGATTTTTCTTCTCGCATCCCTTTCCTAAGATTTGAATGGAGGAAAGGGAGCATGGTTAGAATGTGTGTATGTCTGTGTGCATGCATACACATATATACATATATGTATATGTCCACATGTGCAGGTATATGTGTATTATGTGTGGCATCTGTGTGTTGTACGTATGTATATCTATGTAATACATGTATAAATGTATGCATGTATATGATAAGCTATAGGTACACACACTTAAGTCTTGTTATGATGCCTCATTGTAGTATGAAGTTGAACTTGGGTCCTTGGAGGATAAGCCAGAGTTCTCCAGGCCCTAGCAGGGTTCTACCAAGCTGGAAAGGTTTCAGGTATAGGCCTGGTTGGTTATAGCTTGTATGTCTGTTCTAAAACTAGGCCAGCTAAGTGTGGAAAGGCTTAAACTACCAGGCTGGCCACATGGTGATGAATTTTTTGGTCACAGCAATTTTTAAGGACCCTCTGAAGTCATAGAAGGGTCACAGTCTGTGTCAGTGAGAAGAGGTGCCTGCGCTGACAGATCCTCAAGCAGTACGCTCTGTAGCCATTTTTGTATGTATGTAATATCTACATGCATAGAATGTGGTCAAGGGTTATAAAAGGTGGAGGAAAAGATGTTTGGACCTCTGACTAGCTGGCTGCAGGGGAAATGAATGTTTCTCAGCAAGTTAACGGGTACACTGAAAATATTTGGAAAGCACTGTCCTAATGGCCTGAAAGAATATACTTTCCTGCTTTTATTCTTCTGTGTGATTCCATCCTGAGCAGAACTCCACGGAAGACAGAGTCCAGCAGTCACCCGTTGCCCACCCTGCCCCGATTTCTCGCTGCCTTTCATACAGCTGCCCCTCGGAGAACACAGATATGGATGTGAACCACATCCGGGCGCAAAGCTTCCTCTTCGGTTGTGAACTCAAGGCAGACAAAGATTTCCACTTCAAGGTGGTGAATGAGCAAACCGAACACCAGCTTTCGTTGAGAACAGTGAGCTTAGGAGCCAGTGCCAAGGATGAACTGCATGTCGTTGAAGCCGAGGCCCTGAATTTTGAAGGCAGCCCGACTACAGTCACCCTGGCATCGCTGAAATTGTCTGTGCAGCCCACGGTTTCGCTTGGTGGCTTTGAGATTACCCCACCGGTTGTTCTGCGTCTGAAATGTGGTTCTGGGCCCGTGTACATTAGTGGCCAGCACTTAGTCGCGCTAGAGGAAGAGGTAGAAGAAAATAACGTGAAACTTGTAAATCTGCCTGCCAAGCGAGCTGCTTCTGAAATTGATGACAAGATTCCACCAAAAAAGGTAAAACTGTCTGAAGAAGATGAGGAAGATGAAGAAGAGGAGGAAGAAGAAGAAGAGGAGGAGGAAGAAGATGATGATGAGGCAGAGGATGAGGAAGAGATAGAAGAGGTGGATGAGGATGAGGAGGAGGTGGAGGATGAGGAGGAGGTAGAGGAGATCGAAGAGGATGAGGAGGAGGAGGAAGAGGAGGAGGAGGAGGAGGAAGAAGAAGAGGAGGAGGAAGAGGAAGAGGAGGAGGAAGAGGAAGAAGAAGAAGAGGAGGAGGAGGAGGAAGAGGAGGAAGTTGAAAGTAATAATCCTCTAGAGAACAAGTCTGATCCTGATAGTCCAACACAGAATGGACAAATGCCCAACATGGAGGAGGAGACGACAGATTCCGAGCCCGTTACACCCAAATCAAAAAGCCAGGAGTCCTTCGAAACTGAGGAAAAGATTCCTCCAAGTCCCCAAGAAGCTAGCTCTCCTGAGGATATTAAAGAAAACATTCAGGCAAGCATAGAAAAGGGTAGTTTATTCTTTCCCCAAAGTATAAGGCAAATTGCACAACGCTAAAGCATTGCTTCAGGATGTTCAATCCAGAGGCTATTCAACATCTCAGCCTATTGAAATCTTTTTTAGAAAATAGTTTTAAATTTGTTAAAAAATTTTTCCATCATCTTATTTCGGCAATAGTTAATATTTAGCTGTCCTTTTTATAATGCAGAGTGAAAACTTTTCCCAGTGAATCTGATAGATATCATCCAGAATACTTTGCCAAGAATATATTGTCCATTAGTTTTTAACAATGCAGTTCTTCCCTTGAATTCATTTATTGGGTACATATATTTGGAATGATATGATAGAAGCGAGTAGGGATGGGAGTCTAAGGATAATTAAATTTGTGAAGAGCTGCTTTTTGCAGCCAGGTGTATTTTGCCTGTTTAGTTAATCCTGGCTGCAAAAAGCAGCTCTTTACAAATTTAATTTTTTATTTCTTATCTACCTACATTTCAGAATCCTATTTATCCTTAGACTCCCACTAAAAAATTGGAGATGCAATCACAGAAAAAATAACCCCCAGATACTAAGTTGAAATCTTTTTGGTTATCAAGAAAGAGTTTAAGATGTCTAGCAGCCTAGCAGAGTGCTGAACACTCCTGGAATACGCTACCAGTGTTATGGCAAGCTGCTCTTGCAGGCCAGGGTCCTGATAGCATTTTCTCATACCTGTATTCTTACTCCCACCTTCATGCCAACCCCCTAGGTACTAAGGAACATTTCTTGTGACTCCCCAGTTAACAATTACTAAGATTTTGTCCCCTTCATCCTTCTAACTATATATGTAGTAATGTCTTAGTGGCATGGAGAGCTAACTTCTGAAATCCTCTCATTGGTTCTTCGGTCATAATTGGAGTGTTGGAAATACTTTTTCTTTTCAATCAGAATGACCAGTCAACAGGGGACATAAAAGTGATTGGTGGAGATGATCTCTCAACTTTAACTGGAAAGGTTTGTATATTGAATTAGAAAGAAAGAGCATTGTGTGTTAAAAGACTCGTTATAGTTGATGCTACCATGGCTTTATCCAGACACTGTGGAGTCTTATTACCTGTTAGGAACTGTATAGTTCTTTAATTTTATATATATGGTTAATAAACATATAAGGTTAATAAAGCTTAAGACCACATAGGACTTTGGGGATATCTGCAGGGCTTGCAAACACGTTTTAAAGAATGTTTGCCACGCAGCCAGCTTTGAGATAGGTATATAGCATCTCAAACTTGGTGTTCAAACAAAATTTGCTGTATTGACCCCCCCCCCCCCCAGACTCACTCCATCCTAACCTCCCCTATTTCTCTCAAGAGTACCCCTATCATTCCAGTGACCCAGGTTCACAACTTTGGAGTATTCCTTGGCCTCATGACTTTCTTTCACTCTCCACAGACAACCAATTCCATCTTTCCAAAACCTCTTAGTTCCATTTCAGCTTCTTTGCACTCATGACCCTCATCACCTTTTGCTGAGATTGTTGGAACTGGTTTCATCTTCCACATAGATGCTGCAGTGATTTTCCTAAGGCATAGTTGTTTTAAGGTACAAGATTATATTAGCAGAAACCAAATGTAGTATAACTTGTGACCCAGAATTGCAACTCTGACTTTCCATGGCCTGGATTCAGGATCGTAGAGATGGAAGAGACCTCCAAAGGCCTAGTCCAACCTCCTCCCCTTTTACTGTGGAGGAAAGAGGCCCAGGGAGATGAAGGGGCTTAAAATCATAAATGTAAAGCTGGAAGGGACCTAAGACCCCAAGAGGTTATTCCAACTCCATTATATTGAATTTTTCTATATTGATGGACCACTTACTTTAAATTTCAACAGTGTTCCATAAGCACAGTTGCATAGAGCTTTTCAAATTTGAGGACCCCTTGTAGCATCAAGAAATTGCACAGCTGCCTACATAATAGGAGCCTACTATTGGATGGGATACTATTAGTATCTATTGATGAGGAAAATAAATACTTGGTGCTTGATGAGAAAAAGTTCTTGTGAATCCAGTAGCACTTTGAATGTGTCTTATTGATTACAACAGCATCTATATATGTTGGGAAAATGAAAACATATATGTGTGAGGCAGTCTGTCTACCTGAAGGGATGTTTATTTATTTGCACATAGAGTTAGAGCCCCATCCACGTAGGCCTCCAGCTCAAGGTTTGGAAAGCATTACTCTATTGATGGGACGGGGTTGGAAATTGAAAACATTCACTTTCTGACTTGAACTGAAGAATGACTTCACCTTCTTTCCTTTTTTCTAGAACGTCTTGATTGTTGAAGTAAGTACTATGATTCTGTTTGAATTTTTTCTTGTGATTGATTTAAATAGAATAGTGCCAATGTTTATTAGGCACTGTGCTAAACACTAGGAGTACAAGCAAGCTAGTCCCTCCCCTCAAGGAGCTGATAGTCTAATGGGACCTGAAAAGAGGGTAGGAGGGAGGAAGTAGCTTATCCCCATGGGGCCAGTGGGGGTGGAGTCACCAATTAGGAGAGGACAGCCTCAGAGCAGAGGTTTCTCAGAGTGCAACTGCACCAGGCAAGGAGGCAGAAGAGGATTCTGGAGACATATACAACTTAAAACACCTTTAGAGGTAAAAGAGAAAAAGAATGGATTCTTGGAACCTGAGCATCTCACCAGGGGGCCCATTGAAATGGTAAAAAGTGAAGTAGTGAGGCTTTTTAAAAACATAAGTGTTCAAGAACTTAAATAGCCAAGTGAGTGTTACCATTTCAAAGTCCCTTTTCACAAAAATGGCTCCTGTTCTTCCCCTGCTTGACCTTATTGATGACACTTTACTCCAGTGACCATAATTATAGAGATGGGGAATGGGCCAGTGGATTTCATTGAATGTGCAGGCAAGGGAACTTCCTCTAATAGAGTTGGAGGTAAAGCTTGTGGCTCTCCCAAAGGCAGGGCCAGTGTGTGTCCAAGGTGGGACTCAAATCCAGGTCCCTACCAGGCTTCAAAGCTGAATTTCTCTTCACTAACTCAACTGCCTCAAGCTGGCGTTACAGCTGCTATTTGTATATTGTGGAAAACTCAGATTTACAACCACTTTACTGACAACAGCCAGGGGAGGTCATCATTAACCTCCGTTTACAGAGGATGTTCCTAGTGGCTAATTGGCTCAGCCAAAGTCCCTCTAGCTAGGGTGAACCTGGCCTAGCCTCCTAGCTCCCAGGCCACTTTTGTGTGTGTCTCCATAGAGGCCTAGTGACTAGTTCTAGGCCACACAGGTGCTAAGGGGCACAACCTAAGCTGCTTTGCTCCTTTCCACAGTACCAAATTACTTTGCTTCCTCCAAGATGAGAATCCTTTTCTGATTGGTAGAAAGAAGAAAAGGATGGTGACAATTTTATGGGATTGTGTTTCCGCATTGAACCATAGGACCATGTTGAAGAAATGTCATGTACCTACTGATCTTAGGATCAAAGATTGAGACCCTCATGGTCATCTTAGTTCAGCCCTCTCATTTTGAATTTAGGAAACTGAACCCCAAAGAAGCTATATGACCTGCACAAGGCCAGACAGTGACAGAGCTGGGATTTGAACCCAAGTCCCATTAGCTTTGGAATCAAAGGAAGCCACAATTCAAATTCTGCCTCTGCCACTTCCGACCTGTGTGATCTTAAGTGATGAATGAATAAAAGAAAGAAAAGGCATTTATTAAGCACTTACTAAGTTTTCAGATGAAGAGGCCCCATGGACTTTAGGGAGCAGCAGCCAGGTAGATAGTAACGTATCTTCTTTAGTGTCGTGTCCACTGATAAAGTCATATATGTTCCTGATTTTGAACAATTTAACAGTGTCAAAGACTTTGGTTTTGAGGATTTTCCTTTCCAGGTCTTCAGTAGGTGATTGCTGAAGGAAGCAGAGCCTGTGACACCTTCAGATTGGGGGGGTGAGGGGGAGAGACACTTCTTGGGTGGGTTGATGGCCACTGAGGCAGGCGGGGATGGGCTTCTCTTTCCTAAATTCTAATTGAGGGGTTTGGACTAAGCTGACCTCAAAGGTTTTTCTACTGGAAATTATTCATCCTATAATCAGTAACAGCAAAACCTTTCTAAAGTGTGGTCTAGTCATAGTCATATGTCATATAGTCATAACTGCACTCACATAAAATGGTCATATACCTTTTTCTCCAAAAGATGGTTTCCCATTATTGTGTAAACAAGTTAAAGAAATGTGGTAGAATAGAAAAAATGCTGGGTTTGTAGTCAGAAGACCAAGACTTAACTCCTGGCTGTACCAGGAACACTTATCCCCCTGTCCCATGGAGTACCCTCCTACTGTCATGCATATCCAGGATTGGCATACATGACTTGTGGAAATGGTTTTATTACTTGATAATCCATACTTCACAATAAGAACTTAACTATGTCTAATTCACGAGAAGCTGAACTATGAGGTTCTTTTGGGCACTTTTGATATTCTTAAATAATGAAATGCAGGTGTGCATGGCTGCAATCTAAGTAAGGTATCACTGAGCTCCAGGCTTCCCCAAAACCCCATCCGAAGGCCTGAGGCCCCACTGCCTTTGCCTCTGTCCCAAGAGTGCAGAAAAAGGCCTGATGGGAGACATATAAACGACTGCCTACTGTTATCATTTGTGGTGGTAACAGACTTGTTTGGCCATTTGCTCATCTTCCATTGCTGTTTCTTGTCTACAAGAAGTTGCTCCATGGGTTGAAGGTGTGCTAGTTTCCTTTGCCGTTTTAATGTTTTTGTTTTTTTTTTTTAACGATCAGGACATAATTGACACGGGTAAAACGATGCAGACTTTGCTTTCTCTGGTCAAGCAGTATAATCCAAAGATGGTGAAAGTAGCCAGGTATGTCATCCTGATAGTAAATCGGTTTTTAATTTAAAATGTGTTAAAAAAAAAAAAAAGTCCTTATTTGAGTTTTGGTTTAGCAATTGCTGTAGAGTAGTTTTTGTTAGCCTTTGAGCTTTCAAGAAGCTCATTTAAATGAGCTTTAAATCTTGCATTCCAGGACCTGATAAATGTGTTCATGTTTATCTTCTCTGTGCATTCCATGACTACACAGCTATTTCTTATCTATCCTTTTTGTTTATTCATCTTTCTAGACTGAAGGTGCCTCACTGTAGTAACCCCCTCCCCCACACCCTCCATAATTTGACTTAATTTTGAAAGATTGCACTCAGACCTGCCTATCAGATTTCCAAGGTTCGGCACAAGGGGAGAATAGAACTTGTTTCCAGTTCCAACATGCTTGAGCGTCTCCGTCTTTCAACTGTGTCTGTATTTATTTTTTTAACAGCTTGCTGGTGAAAAGGACACCTCGAAGTGTAGGATATAGGCCTGACTGTAAGTAAATTGCTTTTCAGTTCGTGAATTTTAGCCTAAAAATTTTTAATAGGTAAAATGACATAAAGACACTTAAAACTGTATAGGGAAGATTCATTGGCAAGCATTTGATTTTTCCACATTATGTTTTCTGTATCTTAGTCATAAATTGTGATTCTTTTCAGTTGTTGGATTCGAAATTCCAGACAAATTTGTTGTTGGATATGCCCTTGACTACAACGAATACTTCAGGGACTTAAACGTAAGTAATGCTCTCGTTTTTCATAACATTTCAGAAAGAAAATTATTTTGCTTCTCTATGCCTTGTAATTTAAACAGTCTGGTAATTCCCATTAGGCACATTAAGCTCCTGTCCAGAACAGACATTCTTGGAGCTGGCGCCTGACCAGGCCAGGGAAGGCTCCTGCTGATTGGAGCCCTTGGAACAACTTTCTCTTGTTATTTGTCCATGAGAAACTAAACTTAAAGAGAGGTTTCATTCATTCCCCCTTGAAATGTTAAGAATCCCACCCTCCAATGGCAAGAGTCACACAGATACCTTTGTGAAGAGAGTTGGAGGAGATGAGGGGAAAACACCAAGTTGAACATAAAACAAAAATCTTGTCTTGCTTCTTAGAACGTGCAATTGATTCTTGCCTCCAAGATCAATCATCCCATTTCCTAACGTCTCCTTCCGGCTTTTCTTTCCTCAGCATGTCTGTGTCATTAGTGAGACTGGCAAAGACAAGTACAAAGCATGAGATGCAACTTGGTGTGCAGAGAAGCTTTGAAACACTTTGGGGAAACCCATCAACTTCACCTCTGGACCACCAGCTAAATTTGTCCAATGTTTCAGCCCTGTGACCATCTGCTTATTAGAGCTTTTTGCATGTACTGTATCTTGTCTGTTTTATATTTTAGGAATGTCAAACAGTTGCTGCAGTTCTGATTGCCGTTTCATTTGCACTACAAAACCTAAAGAGACTATCACTACCCCTGGGTGGGTTGTATTGCTTGAATTGCTGTTTGACTTACGAATGGGAAATTACTTAAACCACACCGACACTGAATTGAAATAGTTAAAGTATTGTGAATGTAAGAGATGTTTAAAGAGGATATATTGATTTTTTAAATTGGTAATTTAATTTTATATGTTAATGAAACGCAGAGAAGTGATTGAATATTGTTAGTTAACACCTTTTCGGTGTCAAAAGAGGGAGCAGTCAATTTCAATATCTGTTCCAGTTCTGTTATAGAATCTAAGAGGTTTCATTATTTTATGATAACCCTATCTATCTCCTGGAATTACATTATTATTTCAAGAACTTTGGTTATTGTTGCTAACAGGGAATTAAAATGGAAGCAAAGAGTTAATTTTATTGAGATGGGCAATAGAATGAAAAGCCAAAAAAAAAAAAAAAAAAGTTCACTGAGCTGTCTGTCCCACTCTTACAAATTATTTCCTTTCTGTGCTCGCCAGTCAAAAGTAGTTTTCTTTTAAAGATGAATGGACATTCTGGACATTTTACTTTTGAAATCTATAATGCAAAATGCTTAAAATAAAGGCTGTCTCTTTAAAAAAAAAATTGACTTTTAATCTTTTACATCAGTCATTTCAGCCCCTTCCTCCAGACTGAACCTTTCCTTAGGAAAAAGTTAAGCAAAAATATCCACTACAGTGATGGCACCTGACAGTATGTACAATGTAGTCACTGTGTGTCTCTAAGACCATTTCAGTTTGACTTCCTTTAAGGATCACTTCATTGAATTTGTGATGTCATTGTTTTGCATGTTCTCTCTTAGCACTTATTTCACTCTCTAGTAGTTCATGCAGATCTCATGTATTCCAAAGTCTTTATTCATCATTCCTTAATATTCCATTCCATTGATATGACATAATTTTGGTTTATAGTTCTCTGCTGGAGTGTTGCCATGAATTTTAGTATTTAACAGACCTTGGTTTCTCTCCCTTCTTTGGGGTACATGCCTAATAGAGGGATTACTGGGTCAAAGGGTATGAACACTGAGTCACTTTTCTTGCATAATTCCTAATTGATATCGAATGAATGAACCAGCCTCCAGTTCCAACAGTGTAGTTAGTGTACCAGTTACAGAAAACCCCTTCCACATTTAGTGTTCCCATTTTTTTTTTCATCTTGTGCCCATTTGCAGCTGGTGAGGTGAAGGCCTCAGAGGTTTAATATGAATTTTTTATTAGTTTGTTAGACAGTTTTCAGATGGATCATAGGTTCTTTAATTCTTTCAAAAACTATCCTTTGACCACTCAGCTATTAGAAAGTTATATATTTCTGTCAATTGTCTAAGTGTTTGGATATCAGAGTTTTATCTAAGTTTTTAGTAGCCATAGTTAGTGGTCTTTTATCTTTCATGATCTCCATGCTTAAGAATTTTCCCCTTAATTTTTTAAATTAAATTAGCAAAAATCTATTTTCTCTTCCTCTTACCTGCCTCATCCTCACACTAAAAAAGAAAACCCTATAACAAATACGAGATTTTCAAGTATAATTAATCCCTACGTTGTCCATGTCCAAATACCTGTGTGTGTCTCAATCTGTACTCTTAAGTCCATCTTCCTGCCTGAGGGTGAGTTCTGGCTCTTCTAGAATCATAGTTTGACCACTTAAATTCCTCAGTACTCTATACATTTCCAGCTGATGTAGTATTCATGTGTATGAAAATGTGTGTGTATATTACATATACATACGTACATATGGCACAAGAAGCTGATCTCAACTTCATTTCTGCCAAATTGCTTTCCCATTTTCCTTTAGAAAAATTAATGGAGCTATTCCTTTGGTAATATCTGTTCTTGTGTTTATCAAACAGTAGGATACTATTTTTTATTGCCTCTGTCTCATTTATCTCATCTCCTCTACTGATGTGCTTTTCTGCTGGGGGTTTTTAACCAGTATCAAGTTGTTTCAGATGAGTAGCTTTTCTAAATAAGCTCTGCCCCTTTTATTCATACTTTTTCCTCATTGATTCCTTTGAGATTCTAGACCATTTGTTCTTCCAATATTATTTTGCATAAATACATACTTGGCAATTGGTATGAAGTTGAGAGTGGCTTATAGTTGTGTTGATATAAATCTTGTACGTCAATAGAAGTTATTTTACTTCAAAAGTCATTTTACACATTTTGAAGTTAACTTTGAGTGGAATTTTTCTCCTGGCTTATTTATTATTACTGTTAGAGAAATGATGGTGATTTCTGATGGTTGATTTTTTTGTATTCTGCTACATGGCTAAAGGTATTTACCTTAGTTTAGTGAGGGATTTTCTGGGGTTTTCCTCTAGGGACAGTTTTGTTTCCTTGTTGCTGATGTCTGGCCCTTTCATTTTGTCCTTTTCCTGCTACACTTGCAGTTGCAGAATTCTGTTAAATAATAGTGGGGAAAGAGAGCATCCTTGCCTTCCACCTGTTTGTACTGGAAAACATCACAAACAATAGTGGCTCATGGTTTTGAATATGTGCTTTGATTATATAAACTGGGCCAAAGGTAGATTGGAGATGGGAGAGGTGTAGGGGAGGGAGATCAGTTAGGAGGCTATCTTACTAGTCCAGGTGGGAGGTGAGAAGCACTTGAATTAGGGCATGTGGTCAGAACAATATTCTATAACAAATCCTTATCCCACTGCAACTTAGGCTAATTTTTCCTTAAAACATTTTGAGACCGTCCTCAAGACTTGGTTGGCTTAGTCTGACCAATTCCTGGTCTCCTGAATACAAAAACATCCAGTAGGAGCTCCAAGCCCCCCTTCTCTGGTGTTGTGGCCAATAGTGGGCACAGGCTTTGCCTGCAAATCAACTCAAAGTGTTCTCAAGATCTTTTCAATGTCCTTCTACAGCTTTTGTTAACTTTTGAGTTAGTATGAGTGTTTCATTTTGTTTCAGTATTTTACATAAACTACTATGGAATTGGCTGAGTCAGGCCCAGAACAATTGGCATAGATTACAGAATTGGAACATAATGTTCTTGTTGGGGGGGGGGGGGAATGGGGCATCAGAGAGGACTGTTCAGATCTAGTGATAAACTTGGCTGTCTTGCAATATACTATATATACTATTCCAAAAGGTAAAAGGGATAGGCTTTCGACTTTCCCTGCAAGGCAGTTATAATCTTGCAAGGGAGAAAATGGGCCTTAGTAGAAGAGAAAATTTTAAAGTATCTGAAAAGACCAAAGCTGTGGGGGGAAAAATACAAGTCCAAAGAAATCTAGGAAAATAAATTTCTTTGAGCAACTGAATAAACAGTACCCCTTTAGAATCTTAATGTCTTCAAAGTTTTAGAAACAGCTAAATAAAAAAAACAGAGAACCTGGGGGTGGATTGATTCTATTCTGGGTTTGAGGGGAGAAAAAGAGAAGAGGGTAAGAGGAAGACATGTGTAGGAAGTAAGAAGGGGGGCTAGAACTTGCTATTCCTCATAATTGGAGTGTAAAGAAAAATTACCAGTATGGAGGAAGAGGTGAGGGCAGTGGGCATTAGGACTTCACTCAAGCTGAAGTGGACAAAAGAGGGTTGAACACACAATTTGGTGCAAAAAGACATTAAACTCAACAAGGAAACACGAGCCTAGAGAATGGAAGGGTGAGAGTGTGGGGGTATGGACTGAAGGATGGAGAGGCTTGAGACAGAAAAGGAAGCCTTTTTAGGAGGCTCTAGGCCAGGCTCGAGGTGACGAGGACCTGAAGTAAGCTAATTAAGATTGAGTTGCCCACTTGACAACTGGGATATGGGACTCAAGAGACTGGGGCTGCCTAGACAGATGACATGGGAGCTTATCAGACCATTAGGACACCACCAGTTAGTGGTTATGAAGATCAGCAAAAAAGACATAAGGAGTTGTCAGACAAGTTAGCTTAGAACCAAGAATGAACAGTGTTCCAATCCCCCCACAGTGTAGAGGAGAGGACAGAAGGTGATCAGCCAGGGTTAGGTGCTTTGAGACTACATTTTAGTTCAATGAGCATTGGTAGAGAGTTTGAACCAACATACCATATGCCCAAAGAAGCTGCAAATTGATGAGCACCTTTAAGGCAAGGGGTTAAATTATTCAGATTAACAGAGTAGTAGCTTCTACAGCTTTGGTTTTAAGGGAAATTCACAATCATAAGCTAAAAGAGGCCACAAAACAAAATAATGCTGATTATATAACATTGAAAACCCTTTTGCACAATCATTCTAAGAAATATGGGAAATTTTTTTGTGGGGGGGGCAAACTCATACATCAAAATCTGTAAGGCTAGACATTTGACACTTACTAGCTGTGTGACCCTGGGCAAGTCACTTAACCCCAATTGCCTCACCAAAAAAAAAATCTATAAGGCAGATATCCAATATTCAGAACTAATAAATATATAGATGACCAAGAGTTATTTTCCCAAAGAATAGCAAAGGATAAAATTTCTTTAAAAATTCAAGCTATTATCCATATGAAAACATGCCCCAAATCATTAATAAATAGGGACATGCAAATTAAAGGAACTGAGATTTACTCCATGCCCAGCAAATTGGCAAAGATAAAAAAGATGAAAATATTTAATGTTGGGAAGACAGGCAGCAGACAGCAACTGGCTCCACTGTTGTGTAAGACTTTTTGGAAGGCTACTAGAAAGGTGATAAAACTCTGAGTTCACATCCTCTGACCCAGAGATCCCATTACTAAGACACAAAAAAGGCCAGGCAAGGCCCCATATATATGTACCAAGGTGTTTTTTGAGGTAGCAAAAAGGTAGAAGCAAACTGAGTGTTTGGGGCCTGACTGAACAGATAAATGGTGAAAAGATAAATATGAAGAATTAATAAGAGACATAGGGGAGAGTTTGTCTACATTGATGTATGACGAACAGAAACGAGAGAAAAATATACAACGATTAGGATAACCACAAACGAGGTCGGAACCAAGAAACCTGAATGAAATGTCCAGGCTTAACTCTCCAGTACTTAGCATGAAAAAACCTCCCTTTCTCTTTACAGAAGTGGTGGACTCTGGGTAAGAGACACTCTTAGACCAGGCCAGTGTGGTGTTTTCTTTTGGGTAACTGCTTTTCGTTACGTTAGGAAGGCTGATTTGGGGTGAGCATAACCCAAAAAGCGAGGCCTGGCCTTTTACAACCTTGATCAACTTCTAATTCGTAATAATACTATACCTCGGTTTTTTCTAAGCACTTGCATGCCAACAGGATTCGATGGGTTTCGTGGGCTCAGACCCCGGGTCCCCCAGTGGGCTCCCCCCCAGCCACCGTGGCAGTTTTCACCAAGGTGGACCTGCTCCTCTGCCAGTAGACATGGCAGTGCCTCTGTTGGCCGAGCACCAGCCAGGGTGGCCGCAGGTAAATTTGAGGGCTAGAGCAATTCTCAAAAACCGACTCGTTCAGGAAATAGCCCCACACACGGACGCTGAGTTAGGCCTCGCC